TTTTTTTGAGATGGAGTTTTGCTCTTGTTACCCAGGCTGGAGTGCAATGGCGCGATCTCAGCTCACCACAACCTCCGCCTCCTGGGTTCAGGCAATTCTCCTGCCTCAGCCTCCTGAGTAGCTGGGATTACAGGCATGCGCCACCATGCCCAGCTAATTTTTTGTATTTTTAGTAGAGACGGGGTTTCACCATGTTGACCAGGATGGTCTCGATCTCTCGACCTCATGATCCACCCGCCTCGGCCTCCCAAAGTGCTGGGATTACAGGCTTGAGCCACCGCGCCCGGCATTATTTCTTAAGTTCTGAAGGCTGGAGTCCCATATCAAGGTCCAGCAGTGTTGGTTTCTGCTAAGGCCTTTCTTTCTGGCTTCTCACTTTAACCTCTCACACAGCCTTTCCTACAGCACAAGTGATCTTGGGCATGTGTGTACTTTCTCTGTTTTGTTTGTTTGTTTGTTTGGTTTGGTTTTTTGTTTTTCCTAACAAGAACACTAATTCTGTCAGATCAGGGACCCACCCTTCTGACTTCATTTCCTCTTTGTTACTTCCTTAGAGACCTCATCTTCAAATACAGCCACACTGGGGTCAGAGCATTAACATGAATTTTGGGAGGGACATAAACTTTCAGTCCTTAACAGTTCTTTTTTATGGTTGAATAATATTCCTTTGGATGGTTATACTCCATTTTGTTTATCCGTTCTTCAGTTGATGGACATTTGAGTGTTTCCACTGTCAGATTATGAATAATACTGCTATGAATATACATGTATGACTTTTTTTTTTTTTTTTTTTGAGATGGAGTTTCGCTCTTGTTACCCAGGCTGGAGTGCAATGGCGCGATTTCGGCTCACCGCAACCTCCGTCTCCTGGGTTCAGGCAATTCTCCTGCCTCAGCCTCCTGAGTAGCTGGGATTACAGGCACGTGCCACCATGCGCAGCTAATTTTTTGTATCTTTAGTAGAGACGGGGTTTCACCATGTTGACCAGGATGGTCTCGATCTCTCGACCTCATGATCCACCCGCCTCGGCCTCCCAAAGTGCTGGGATTACAGGCTTGAGCCACCGCGCCCGGCTCATGTATGACTTTTTGTTTGAACACCTGTTTTCTCTTGAGTATATACTTAGGAGTGGAATGCTGGGTCATTTGGTAATTCTATTTTTAACTTTGAGAAACATCTAACTTGTTTTTCAAAGTGTCTGTGCCATTTTGATTTCCTACTAGCAATGTGTGAGGATTCCCATTTCTTCACGTCCTTTACCAGCATGTGTTATTTTCTTTGTATGTGTGTGGTTTTTTTGTTGTTGTTTTTCTGTTTTGTTTGAGATGAAGTCTCGTTCTGTCATCCAAGCTCAAGTGCAGTGGCATGATCCTAGTTCAGTGTAACTTTGAACTCCTGGAGTGAAGTGATCTTCCCACCTCAGTCTAGGACTACAGGTGCACAATGCGTCTGGCTAGCCTTTAAAATATTTTGTAGAGAAGGGATCTGGCTGTGTTGTGTAGGCTGGTTTCAAACTCCTGGACTCAAGCAGTCTTCTCACCTCGGCTTCCCAAAGCTCTAGGACTGTAAGTGTGAGCCACCCCTGCCCAACCTAAAACTGATTTTCTTATGTTCATCTTGTATCCTAAAACCTTGCTGAACTTAATAGCCCGCATTCCACCTGGGCTTTTTTTGTTGGAAGTTTTATTAAATTTTTAATCTTTTTACTTATTATAGGTCTTTTCAGTTTTTTAGTTGTTTTTTGTGGTAGTTTCTAGAGGTTTATCCATTCATCTTATCTAATTTGTTGGCATACAACAGTTCATGGTATTCTCTTGTAATCCTTTTTATTTCTGTAAGAGTGGTAATGATGTCCGCAGTTTTATTCCTGATTTTAGTAAATTGAAGTCTGTCTAGTTAAAGATTTGTCAATATTGATTTTTTCAGAGGAATTTTGGGTTCATTGATAACTGATTTTTCTCTTGACCCTTTACTGATTCCCAATTTTATATTGCCCCATTTCAGTGTCTCCCTTCAAAGTCACCTATCCAGTTGCCTTCTTCATTGATCTACTTTGATTTCTAACCAGCATCTCAGACTTAACATCTCCAAAACTGAACTAGATCTCTGCCAAACATTTCTCCTCCAGTCTTCTCCATCCTAGAAAGTTAAACTACCATTTACTCACTTCACAGACCAAAAGCCTACGTGTCATTTTCAGCTCCTTTCCCTCGCATTCCACATCAGCATATCATCAAGGAAGTTGCTACCACTGTCTCTTGCCAAGGCTGTTGTCATAATAGTCTCCTAATGCTTTATCTAATAATCTGTCGTCTGTACAGCCACCTGGTAATCTTAAACAACATAAATTTGATTATTTTAGCTCTACTGCTACCTAAATATGAAACTTCAGTGCATTTCTATTAAAATTGAAAATCCAGTCTCCTCACTGTGGACTGTATAATCGTGCCTCTAAATCTCTTACCTCATCATGGACTTCCCATCTTAATTACTTTGCTGACCATGCCTGCTTTCTTGCTTGTTCTCAATATACCATATTTCATACCTTAACTGCATCAGTGCTGTTCACTCTGTCTAGAACATTCACGTGTCTCCATATGGCTTGCTTCTCCCTTACTTTATTGAGTTCTCAAGAAATGTTACCTCCTTTGCCTGTAATCACAATGCTTTGGGAGGCCAAGGCAGAAGGATTGCTTGAGGCCAGGAGTTTGAGACCATCCTGGGCAACATAGCAAGACTCTATCTCTAAAGAAAAATTTAAAAATTTAGCTAGGTGTTGTGGTGCATACCTGTAGTCCAAACTGCTCAGGAGGCTGAGGCAGGAAGATCACTTGATCCCAGGAGTTTGAGGTTATTGCGAGCTGTGATTGTGCCATTACAACCCAGCCTGGGCAACAGAAAGAGACTCTGTATTTAAAAACTAAAAAGAAAAAAAAAATATTGCCTCCTAGATAATTTTTTTTCTCAGCTCTCTAAATGCTCTCTTCACTGCTTTGTACAATAAGACTTATATGCACGTCACTGACATTTCTGGTGTTTAGAGGGGTGTAGGATGAGGAGGGATCCCGTCATTACGTATAGTCATACCTTATGTCATTGACTTTTTTATTGTTCAGCAATGTATAAGACTGAAATACTTCACATACAATTGACTGTGAGGAATGGGAAATATGAGTAATTTTAATTTTTTTTTACCTCCAGTAAATTAATTGCAAAGCAATTTTATTACTTTTATTTATTATTGTTATTACTACTATTTTTTTTTTAGGCAGATTTCTCGCTCTGTTGTCCAGGCTGGAGTGCAGTGGCATGAACTCAGCTCACTGTAGCCTCTGCCTCCTAGGCTCAAGTGATAGTTCCCCTCAGCCTCCCGAGTAGCTGGAATTGCAGGCGTACACCACGAAACCTAGCTAATTTTTGTATTTTTAATAGAGGTGAGGTTTTGCCGTGTTGGTCAGACTGGTCTTGAACTCCTGACCTCAAGTGCTTCACCCTCCTCGGCCTCCAAAAGTAATTCCCTGGGATTACAGGCGTGAGCCACAACGCCCTGCCCAAAGTAATTTTTGGGCAAGCATGGTAGGTCTAGGATGGGGCTAACTCTGGAAAGAAGAGAATAAATGGACAAAGGAATAGGGAAAGGATGGGAAGGGATAGAAGAGGAACCCCTACCTTTCCAACCTCCTAAGAACCTTCAAAGTTGAGTTTTTGTCTTTGTTCTTTCAACTATAGAAATTTCCATTTTACCTAAAGTGAGGGAAATCATTCAGCTATAATTTTGTTTTTACTTTGTTAACTCCATTACTCCTAAGGAATATGAGGCCTTCCTTTAAACTTTCATCAGAGGAGAGAGAGAGAAGCAAAAACAAAGGAATGCAATGCTTACCTCTCACACTGTAATTTGTACCTTGGTAGCTTTGAGAAAAAAATGTGATGTAAAAAAGTTACTGTGGATTCAGTAGTGCTTTTAAAATAAATATGTATGTATTGCTTGTAGCAAGATGTGTTAAAAAGAGTGAAGTTAGTGGCTGTATATGCAAGCACATTTTTATTTAATTTACAAACAGTGCCCGTATGGATTTACTGACCTTGTAATGACTGAGATCTTCTAAGGGATTGTGGCCTATGGATTGTGAACTGATGTAATTGACTCATTCCTATCAACCTCAGATTTGCATTAAATGGTTTGTTTCTAAGCATAATTAACCTAGACAGTTTGATATACAAGAAAAAATGAAACAAAACTGCCCTTGGATTTCCAAAGACTTAAATTAATCTGACCTAGCTACTCACTACCTTTGTGATTTTGATAACTTATTTAATACCTTTGAATCTCATTTATGGCATTATGTATGTAATACTATATTCTGATAATGTTCTAACTATTCGGTATATCTTTCTTTTCCCTCCTTAATGTATGAGTAACACTGTTTTTCGGGACTTTAACTTTCTTATTTTATTTCTATCTTTGCTGTGATTACAGCTTTCCACAAAGAAAGTTTGCTGCCCTCTGTTCATGGGCCAGCAAAGAGAGCCCTTAATTCAGTTCTGGTTTTAGTCCATAGATAGATAGAAGAGAATTTATTTGAGCTGGAGCAGAAAACCATCTTTTTTTGGTCAGATATCTATTACCCTTCTGTTTTGTTTACTTTATTTCTGTTTCTTCAAGTCGTCAGCATGCCTGACACATCAAACAGTCCTCATAAAGTCTCCAACCTCTCAGGTAATTATAATGATGTAGGAATTACAATCCAACAAATATTTCTTAAGCACTTACCTGAGAATGGTAGTTTAAAGAATAGGTCGATGTTAAAAGGTGAATAAATATTTCTTTTTTTTTTTTTTTTTTTTTTCACGTTTAAGATTTTATTCAGATTTGATTTGCATTCCAAAAGAAATTATAAAATGTATTCACTTGTTTATAAAAAAAAAAAAAGAGGGGCCACAAAATTTTAATTCAAATTATAAAACATAATTAATTAATTTTCAGATTAAAAGTGGGCTAGTTGCTTGGAGTAACAAACTTTTAAATCAGCATTTTCCACCTCCACACCAAGGATAACCATCTAATTAATGATCAGCTGTGCTGTAATAGGATAGCACTGAGACTTGAGTAAACATCAAAACTGAAGCACCCTTCTAAGCCCAGACCAGGAGCTTTTTTATGCCTTCTCATAGTGGCGAACAGCAACCACATCACCAAAAGTAAGGGTCATAACCATTTTGCCATCCTTAATTTCTCTTACAAAATTTGTTTCTTTGCCATCCCATTTCTGTACGTGAACAAGTTTGTCTCCATCCAGGCTAACAACAGACTTACAGTTTCTGTCATCCGCAGTGGTTTCATCAAACTCTTCTCCCAGGTGGAAACTAATCTCCGTGTTCTTGAATGTGCTGAGAGTCCTGATGACCACTTTGTCTCCTTCCTGACTGATAATTACCGTTGGTTTGGTCACATTTCCCACCTGCCTAGTGGCAAAGCCCACACCTAGAGCCTTCATGTACTCATCAAAGTTCTGACTGTCGGTCAGTTTCCAGGTAGCACAGAAAGCCTCCACCATCCTTGCCCTTTCCCGTCTTTAGAGACAAGAGCGAGGATCTTCTCGTCTAATTGCCACTGGTGAATAAATATTTCTTAGCTCAAAATATAATGGAATTAAATACCACAAAAGGGTGTCGTTTATAAAATAGTACAACTTGAGTACTGATGAGGATGTTATTAGCTTTGCCTGTTTGCCTGGGGCCTATGGGGTGAGATAGGGGATACCTCAGAATTAGATTGAGGGTTGCAGGAAGAACATTATAGGCAGAGGACATATTGTGTTCATATGGCATGGAAGCATTGACAGTGCACATTGTGATTGATCAGTGTGGCCAGAGCATAGTGTATGTATACAGAATATGGTAGCAGAGAAGACTGAAAAGGTAATTTGGGATCAGACCGTATAATGATCATGCATGGCATTCAGAAATTAGAAGTCTTCAGTATTGTCAGTGAAAAGCTATAAAATGTTTTTAAAATGTAGAAAGGATGATGTTTAGCAGCAGCATGAAGGGTGAATTCTGGTGGTAGAGATGGTGGTGTAGGTGAATATAAAGATAAATTACAAATTAATAGATGTTATTAATAGGTAGTGTCGGCTGAACAAAGTGGCTCACACCTGTAATCCTAGCACTTTGGGAGGCTGAGGCGAGCAAATCACGGGGTCAGAAGTTCAAGACATGCCTGGCCAACATGGTGAAACCTCATCTCTACTAAAAATACAAAAATTAACCGGGCATGGTGGTGCATGTCTCTAATCCTAGCTACTAGGGAGGCTGAGGCAAGAGAATTGCTTAAACCCACCCAGGTGGTGAATGTTGCAGTGAGCTGAGATCAGGCCACTGCACTTCAGCCTGGGGGACAGAGCAAGACTCTGTCTCAGGGGAAAAAAAAAAAAAAAAATTAAGTGCGATGAAGTGAAAAGAGCCTGGACATTAGAGTCACAGGCATGGTTTTAAATCTAGGTGCTGGCCTTTGCAGTTGGGAACAAATTAACTGCTTTGATTTTTAGATTTTTTTTTTTTTTTCCCACATGTACCAGGTGGTAGTAGAACTTGTTTTACAGTGTTCTTCTGAAGGTTTTGTTATGGGCCTGAAGCACAAATAAGGGTTCACTTAATGATAACTGTCATTATTATTATCAACATGAATGACATTTATTATAATTTTTAAGGTAAGAAATAGTAAAAACCTGAATTTAGGGATGGAAAAGAGAGAATAGATGGGGAGGAATTTTTTTTTTTTTTTTTTTGCTCCATTGCCCAGGCTGGAGTACAGTGGCAGGATCTCAGCTCACTGCAACCTCCACATCCTGGGTTCAAACGATTCTTCTGCCTCAGTCTCCGAGTAGCTGGGACTACAGGCATGCACCAGCTAACTTTTGTATTTTAGTAGAGATGGGGTTTCACCATGTTGGCCAGGATGGTCTCAATCTCCTGACCTTGTGATCCGCCCACCTCAGCTTCCCAAAGTGCTGGGATTACAGGCATGAGTCACCACGTCCAGCCGGCAGGAATCTATTTGAAGTAAAATGAATAGGACTCAGTGACTGGAAATACTTGGTGATTTATGGAAAGAATGGAATTGTGACTGAGGTGTCTAACCTGAGTATCATGTGTTACTCAGGAAAGTGTTCATGATGACATTTTCCTGGTAAGTAATACAGACTATAGGAGGAATCCATGATTTCTCAATCATGGATTGATTTCTCAATCATGGATTGAAGGAAAGGAGTAAAATGATGTTGATTTAGGCATTTTTAGGTATTTAGGAGATTTCGGTGATGATATGAAGTAGGCAGTTAGTCTTAGGGCAAGAAATAAAAGATTGGAGTATATGTGTGATAGTGGGAAAGCATGTTAATTTTGACTCCTTGACTAGAATTATGAATATCTTAACAGCAGGGCATACTTTTAAACATTATCCCTGTATCCCTACACTGCTAGCTCTATTTAAACACTTGATTTTTTTTTTTTTTTTTTTTTGAGATGGAGTTTCGCTCTTGTTACCCAGGCTGGAGTGCAATGGCGCAATCTTGGCTCACCGCAACCTCCGCCTCCTGGGTTCAGGCAATTCTCCTGCCTCAGCCTCCTGAGTAGCTGGGATTACAGGCACGCACCACCATGCCCAGCTAATTTTTTGTATTTTTAGTAGAGACGAGTTTTCACCATGTTGACCAGGATGGTCTCGATCTCTTGATCTTGTGATCCACCCGCCTCAGCCTCCCAAAGTGCTGGGATTACAGGTGTGAGCCACCGCTCCCGGCAACACTTGATTTTTATTAAATGTGAGATTTTAAAAATAATATTCTTTATGATGGCTTTGTGAATAGAAAAGATAATTCATAGTTACTTTGATTTCTGATTTTTAACTGTTCACTTTATTTAAATTTATACATTTAAAACTAGTTCTCTTTTTTTTTTTTTTTTTTTTTTTTTTTGAGACGGAGTTTCGCTCTTGTTACCCAGGCTGGAGTGCAATGGCGCGATCTCGGCTCACCGCAACCTCCGCCTCCTGGGTTCAGGCAATTCTCCTGCCTCAGCCTCCTGAGTAGCTGGGATTACAGGCACACGCCACCATGCCCAGCTGATTTTTTGTATTTTTAGTAGAGACGGGGTTTCACCATGTTGACCAGGATGGTCTCGATCTCTCGACCTCGTGATCCACCCGCTTCGGCCTCCCAAAGTGCTGGGATTACAAGCTTGAGCCACCGCGCCCGGCCAAAACTAGTTCTCTTTAAATACATATCTTATTCTGTAACAAATTTTAACAAACTTTTAATAAATGTCTTAATTTCTTAAAACATTTAAATCTGTAAGTATAAATTAAAATTTTATATTTTCTCTGTAAATACTGATTTAATAAAACCTTCCTAGATATTTAAATAAATCTTGTAAATATAATAATTTAAAATTATAAGACATTCTTAAGTTGTGTGAGTATTCTTTTTTTTTTTTTTTTTTTTTTTTTTTTTGAGTTTCGCTCTTGTCACCCAGGCTGGAGTGCAATGGCGCGATCTCGGCTCACCGCAACCTCCGCCTCCTGGGTTCAGGCAATTCTCCTGCCTCAGCCTCCTGAGTAGCTGGGATTACAGGCACGCGCCACCATGCCCAGCTAATTTTTTGTATTTTTAGTAGAGACGGGGTTTCACCATGTTGACCAGGTTGGTCTCGATCTCTCGACCTTGTGATCCACCCGCCTCGGCCTCCCAAAGTGCTGGGATTACAGGCTTGAGCCACCGCGCCCGGCCATGTGAGTATTCTTAATACAGGATACAAACTTAGTAAAATTTCATGATAGAATTACAAGTCTAAATCAGCTATTCAATAATACATCTTAAATTAGAATTACAAGACTGGGTCCAATAGGCCAGATCGTCTTAAAACATTACAAATATTTACCAATAGGCATAGAGTACTTATTTTTTAAACATATTTTTTGAGATATAATTTACATATCTTAGAATTCATCTATTTTAAGTGTACAGTTTGCCTATTTTTATTATATTCACAGAATTATGCAACATCACCACAATCTACTTTTAGAATATTTCCCTTCACACAAAAGGAAATATGTTGCCCATTTGCAGTTATTTTCATTTTCAGTCACCCCAGGAAACCACTAACGTACTTTATTCTATCCGTAGATTTGCCTTTTCAGTACATTGTTTATAAACGGACTTACATAGTATGTGGTCTTTTGTTTCTGTTCTTTTTTCACCTAGCACCTTGTTTGAGGCTTATTCATCCATATTATAATTTTATTCCATTGTATGGGTATACCACATTTTGTTTATCACAGATTGCTTCTTAATATAAAATAATTAAAATTTTATTTCTTTTAAATCATCCTATACTTGATTAAGAAAAAAATCCTGAAAATAACTAAATGAATCCTTTATAAGTTAGAAAAAGTGCAATAGGATAAACCCAAATAAATGGATAATTTTAAAAAATTAGAGCACAATTTAATGAAATCAGAGATACAATAGAGAAGATCAAAAAAGTCAAAAGTAGGTTTTTAAAAGAAAACTAAAAATGAAACCTAATAAGACCGATTAAGGAATAAAAGACAAAAATAGTATGAAAATGAAGACTGACTACGTATTAGAGATTAAAATACAAGGAATTCATAGCACCTGCCATTAGGTTTTATACAGTGTTTTTCCTTTTCAGGAGATCTTTATTCTGGATCATATTTTGCTTAATGGAACTGCTTTGAGTAACCCTTACCCCCAGAGTGAATGGCTTTTCTACTTTCAAAATCAGAGAATATCTGTAAATGTCTCTTTTCAATATTCATAAGCAGCACATTGTCTACATTTTTTTCCTTTAGAATTTTGTAAACACAGCTTCATAGGCTTTTTTTTTTTCTTTTTTCTTTTTTAAGAGATGGAGTCTGCTCATGTTGAATTCTTGGAGTCAAGCAATCCTTCCACTTAAGCTTCCCAAGTAACTGGGACTACAGGTGTGTGTCACCACATACCATACATACCCAGCTCTCCATAGATGTCTAGCATTTACATTTACCAGTGAAATGACTGGTGGTCTAAATCTCTTTCCTCTTATTTTAAGTAAAATTAAGTGAAATATTTCCCATATTTGGAGCTTGTAAATTTTTATTGTCAAAATTCCGATATTTTACCAGGAGAGTCTACATGTGTAGCTTCCCCTCCAACCCCTAGTGCTGCCCCAGTATTTCATGGAGCCCATTAGACAAGAAGACTCAAGCCAGTAATCAGTGTTAGGAAGTTTTTGTTTCCTTTTCCTTCCTTAAAATTTTTATTTATTTAATTAATTTTTTTTTTTTTTTTTTTTTGAGACAGAGTTTTGCTCTTGTTGCCCAGGCTGGAGTGCAGTGGTTCGATCAGCTCACCACAGCCTCCACCTCCTAGGTTCAAGCGATTCTCCTACCTCAGCCTCCTGAGTAGCTGGGATTATAGGCGTGCGCCATCATGCGTAGCTAATTCTTCGTATTTTTAGTAGAGACGAGGTTTCTCCATGTTGGTCAGACTGGTCTCGAACTCCCGACCTCAGGTGATGACCCAGCTTGGCCTCCCAATCCCAAGTGCTGGG